AGGGTTTAGGTTTTAGGGTTAGGTTTTAGGGTTTCGGGTTTAGAGTTTAGGCTTTGAGGTTTGGGTTTAGGGTTTAGGCACAGGTTGTTTTGGGTGCTGCTTCACGATTTTTCGGTTCGCCGTGTTTGCGATTTGGAGCCGCTGCCGCTTCCAAGAGTTAGGAGGTTTGAATATTTTGTAATGGTGTTCCCGCATAGTCCTTGTCTAAGTCCTTCTGCTGAGATGAAACCCAAGGCTGTGAAGGAAATGGGCAAGGATGCAGCCAGCCTGCAACGACACACCTTTAGGGTAACCTTTTCTGTGGCATACTGCCTGGGCTTTGCAGCCAACCGATTTGACTGGCAAGCCATTGCTATGCGTTTTGGCAGACCTGGAAATGCAGATCTTCTGGCTGATGTTTGTGAGAACACCCAGTGGAGAAGGATTCCCATGACCAGAGGGGCAGAAAAACCCTAAACCCGAAACCCTAAACCCTAAACCCTAAACCCTAAACCTTAACCATAAACCCCTAAACCCTAAACCCTAAACCTTAACCCTAAACCCTAAACCCCTAAACCCTGAACCCTAAACCCATGGCAGCACAGTTGGCCAGCTGCGGTCCCGCCGCTTCGTCTGGGACGTGAGTTTAGGTTTAGGGTCTAGGGTTTAGGGTGTGATTGGTGGAAGCCATGATAAGTCTTGTTGCTTCGCAGTATACCGCAAAACGCTGCACAAGATGCTTCAAGGTTCATCGGACTTGTTAAGTGAGGTCCCAAGTAAGGTTAGACTTAGGCTAGCCCCTTTAGGTCATGTGATATCCCTACTTACTAAGTCTCTTGAGCCCTCAAGTAAGATAACCAAGCCTACAGCCTAATCTCTAAACCCCAAACCCTGAACCCCCAGTAAGATAACCTAGCAAAGGCCACGGGCTCTGATGATCAGGATCTGGATGCATACTCCGCCAATGCTGCTTGCTGCCCTCCTTAAGCAAGCGACATGCAAGGCTCAATTACTCGCCCAAGACTGTATCGTTATCCTGTACATGGGTGCCATGGCTAACATGTCAAACCCTAAACCCTAAACCCTAAACCCTAAACCCTAAACCCTAAGGATCATGATCAAGGTTTGTACTAAAACAGTATCAGGAGTGGTGAGTGTAGTAGCGGGGTGGAGTCCGAGAGGCACCACAAAAGCTAGTGAAGGGTCTGCGCAGTTTTTGCAGCCCTGCACTTTCCAAACTTTAGACCAAACCCTAAACCCTAAACCCTAAACCCTAAACCCTAAACCCTAAACCCTAAACCCTAAACCCTACACCCTAAACCCTAAGCCCGACCCGGAGCCGACTTTCCGGCAAAACAGTTCGGACCTCCTCTTTCTTGTGGGTTCCAAAAGCGATCTTGGGTTTAGGGTTTAGGGTTTAGGGTTTAGGGTTTAGGGCTTTTTTGGAGTCGTTGTAATAAAGGATCAGTATTGTCCGAGCCTCAGACCCTAAACCCAAACCCGAATCCCTAATTAAGCCTTTGAGTCTCTGATCCACCAAAGTCAGAAATAATCCTGCCCCGGAGCCCAAAATGCTAAACCGCAGCATCCTAAAGCCTTGCAGCACAAAAACCTGAATCCCTTTCGCAACAAAGCCTTGGGTTTAGGTGTTTTCAGCAACGCTGGTCTGAGTAGTGTCTAGTAGTATCCTGTTAGGGTCCCCACATACTTCTACTATCATGGACCCCCTTTTTTGCAGTCATTAGGCTTCTATATTCAGCCCTATAAGACCCCATAGAACCTGGATAAAAACCAGCCCTTAAACACATGTATGTGTACGAGTGTGTATATATATATATATATATGTATATGTACATAACCACGACCCAAAAAACCCCTAAACCCTAAACCACCCCAAACATTCATAAGAACGTTTCTCTTGCACCAGCCCTGTTCACAAAGACCCTCTTCCCAAAGCCTTCATGCAGATGGCGGACCCTAAGTCCTAAACCCTAAACCCTAAACCCTAAACCCTACACCCTAAACCCTAAACCCTTCACCCAAAACCCTAAACCCTAAAGCCTACACCCTAAACCCTAAACCCTACACCCTACACCCTAAACCCTACACTCTAAACCCTACACCCTAAACCCTTCATGCAGATGGCGGACATGCGGAAGAAGATGAACGAGCGCGAGCCGCTTTTCCGCTTGTCCGACGTCCAGGCCGGGGTTCAAAATTTGGGGTTTAGGGTTTAGGGCTTTTAGGGGTTTTGGCTTTATTCAGGGTTTCGGGTCTAGGGGTTTGTCGGTTTAGGGTTTAGGGTCTAGGAGTTTCTCGGTTTAGGGTTTAGGGGTTTATCGGTTTAGGGTTTAGGGTTTCGTGGGTTTCGGGGGTTTAGGGGTTTAGGGTTTAAGGTCTATGGTTTCAGGGTTGAGGGTTTAGTTCGGGCTTCATGCTTGTGGTTAAATATAGAGGCCTTAATAATTAGAATAGGGTTTTGGGGTATAATCATACTATAACTTTAAGACGGCCCCAAACACCCTATTCTAATTATTAAGGCCCCTGCATCAGGTCTTTGGGCGTAGGGTTTGGGGTTTCAACGCCGCATCCTGCCTGTCCCATCATATACCCTGCTCTGAAGGGTTTAGGGTTTGATAGGGTTTAGGGTTGAGGAAAATCCCTAAACCGTATAAACCCTATAA